TCACTTTTAAATTATTCTGCCAAAATGAGATGCTAAGGATTTGCATACAGATTTGACTACACAAAAATAGATCTGGAATTAATAACAGTCTCTATATGTTTTAATTTCTTCTAGACTGGAGTACCCTTGCCTCCAGCAGAATTCTTGGCTTTGAAAGTCATCAAGCTGATTTGTCTGCTCTTAGGTTATGATGCCACATGCTGCTACACTGTCCCCTGCAATCAAAGTGCTCGCAGAGATAGATTCCATGCCTTCCCCTAACAAGTATATTTTATAGATTGGCAGTTTTGATCTCCCCTCCCCAGGGGGATAATCTGCATCTTAACAGGTTTCTATAGATACATCTGTCATTAAATATGCCATCTTATATCTGCATCAATTTTCAAACTCAAGTTCCTCCTAACTTTGAAGTGCTATAGCAAAAGTTTAAAATTTTCTGCCAAAATTCAAATTTAACAACTCTGCAATGTCCTCTTGAACTATTTTTTTTTTAAAATACTCCAGGCAGCTGGGAAAGGGCAAAAGAAGAGCAATATGTCTCTTAAAAAAAATAGGAATAGGAAAAAAAAAAGTTTAAGTGGTAACAAAAATAATACATACTTTCTCAGAAAAAGAAGGGGTAATTCTGAGATTACTGAAACTTCTCTGCAGTGCTTTCTATGAGGAAAGGAGGGGAAAGGCAGGAAGGCATTGTATCTACACTTGAAAAAGAATATTCTTGTATATATTCTTGAAAAGAATACACTTGAAAAAGAAGTATTTAAAAATACAAAGCATGCTATTAAATTTGATGTCAAGCAATAGCAGCTAATGTGGTAGTAACCCATCAGTTAAGGAAAGAGAAAAAAAAACCCATCTAGCTGGGTAAATGACAGAGAATTTACAGTTTGGTCAGCGCTCACTGGGTTTTATAAACTGAGAGCAATGATTGCACCGCTTTGACACCAGCAGCTTGCTTTGAGGACTAGAGTTTCCAGGAGGCAAGCAGCGCTCTCAGGACAAGCCTGTGTCTTTCTTGCTCTTACAGCTGCGAGAACACAGCCACGGGAAGCCCAGCACCCAACCCATAGACTTAAAATGGACTTACACTGCCACAATCACTGTTGCTCACTCCCCTGCAGGCTGTAAACCCTGTTTTTCAAGCCCTCCAAGACCCAGAAGTTTCCAAATCGTGCAACAGCGTCCCTCTACATTGAGAGGTCCTGGAGGATTCCAAGACCCGCTTTGTCCAGCCCTTCCCTTACACATAGGAAATATTTTGGTTCATTACAATCCCCCAAACAGTCCACAAACTGCACCGAAAAGCACCTTCAATAGAGACACCTCCAAAAACAGAAGGGTGGAAGGCAGTAGATTCAACACCATTTTCCCAATAGAAAATTTATAATCCATATTTATAACATGTCCTAGTAAGATCCCCACGTGACTTCAGAAATCTAATCCAATCCAAATCCCCCAGAAAATCTCACAACTCTCTCCGAAGTCCCCAAGCGCTAGGCTGCACGCACGAATCCGAGTTTGCTGGGAGACGTGTAAAACTACATGTTGGCAAAGAGCTCCCACGTGTATTCCTTCCAGCAAATCCAGGGAATATATAGAAACTCATGACACGCGCCCCAAGGTGCTCTGCTATTTTAAAATAGAAATCTCTCCTCTCTTGCGTGCCTGTGTGTTAAACACAGGATAATCCTTCCTCAACATGCAAGCCTGCTGCCTTTTGCTTCAGCCAGCCCAGGTGCGGTGAGGACAGCTGAGCCGGAGCATATTCTCCCACCCTAACGAGTTCCCTGGAAGACACCAGCAGCAGCTCTAATTAAGACCGTTCCACCTCAGATGCAATCCAGCTGCAAACAAGAGGGTCGCTTTGGTTTGTTTGTGGGCTGTTTCTTTAAATATCATTAAAATCTGATGTTTACATTCAATCGAAGAAGTATCAGCGGCATCAAAGCTATAACGTCCACGCTTGAAAGGTGTGTGATCCATTATCTTTATTCAAATATAATAAAAATAATAATAGAGAAACACTGTTCCATATACAGACTAAGACTGGGTCACTGAGGCAATTTTTATGTACTTGCGAAGCTCCTGCTCCTGGTAATTTCTGTGCCAGCTGCCCTGCAAAACTCGATTTGGTTAGACACTGTAGATTCCTATTTATTCCAGACCTATTTTTCATAAAACAATTTTATAGGCGTTTACTGAGAAAAAAAAAAATCTTCTCACAACAAACAGCATACTGATATTAAGGTGATACTCTTCCCCTCAAACCACTTACAAACTCAGAATAATTCTCCAAGATATGTCATCTCCATAATTTCCTTGGTCAAAACCTCCACCATTAGGGAAAAAATGATAATAATAATAATAAAAAAAGAAACTTGAATTTTGAAGAAAAAGCTGTTAAATACAAAGCAACTGTACAGGGTTGGCTTGTTTATCAGCATGTCCCCCCCGCTCGAGTTGAGTTTCCATGTGCATGTCAAGATGTGATTTTAGCTGACACACTTCAGGTCAGGCAACTTGGACCTCTTCGAAACAACAGCATAATACTTTGCTTTCGAGAAGACTTTTCATGTGCTAATCTCTTGAGCACTTGAGGTGGAGGGGAAGCCTCCTTATCCCCAGTTGCAGGTGCAGGAATGGTCCAGAGCTGAACTGCCTGGCAGAGGTTCCCTGCCCCTCTCTGTCCCCAGGGACACTACACCTATAGAGGAGGAGGGAGGTGAACTTATATAGAAAAGTAGGTCTCCAGATTTGCATGTGCACTCCACGGAGGATGCAGGGAAACAAGCATAGTTCAAGTTCTCACTCTTATGGAAAATATTTCCCTGCTTTTATAGGGAATGATTGTTGGTAATGTTGAACTCTAAAGGGTTTGGTGCGTTTTGTTTCTCTTTTACTCAAATACTTCACTTTTCAAGCATGTGGCATGCAATTCGTTTGTGAAACGGGTCACGGTGTCAGATGTTAACTGGGGCCTGTAAGATTCATCTTTCTATAAAATTTCAAAACCATCTGCCCGATGCTGTACTGTCAGTACAGAGAATTTATTTTAATGAATTCTCATCCAGTTTTTAAAATAAGAAAACAAAATAAAATGTGGGCTGTGAAAAAAATAAAAACACATATGAGAAAAAATAATAACACAAATATAAAAATACGTTCCACGAGATATGGTACTCAGAAAACTTGAGAGCTGAACCCTCTTGTGCTGACCAGAGGGTCCAACTAGTTCCAGAGTGTGGAGGGCTCTCTCTGGGCCTTCTGGCAAGTTAAAAAACCCCAAAGGGGTGGTGGCAGCTTAGGAGTCCCTCGGTCACCTGAAACACTGTCCACACATCTCCTACTGCCAGCATGTGCTTACAGCATCTTGTTTAACACACTTCTCTTCCCTGCTACCTTTGCCATGGTTTTACACTCTATTATTTTTTATTCCTTCTTGTATTTGTCCCAAAGGAGCAGCAAAGTAAAGCTGACAAGGAATCCCAATAATAATAATAATAGAAACCCCTTAAGACTAGTCAGCTTTTGACTAGCAAAGCCTTTAGGAGGCAAGGGGCTGTAGCAGAGGCACTGATGCTTTGGCTATAGAAGAGTAAGTAAACGGTCTGTGCGCGGGTCATGTTTTGATGACTCTCCTCAAATACAAGAGCTCAAAACTTATATTATCACTATTTAATTTATTCACTTACTAAAAACCTGGGCACATTTTCATGGTTACCTTGCCGGCTGGTAGTAGCAGCCTGACTTTGAGAGCTCTTGCTGAAGACCTGTATTTCCCAGAAAAAGCAGCAGGGATACAGCTCAGAAACATCCCTAACTCAGACTAATTTTTTAATCACTTAATTTTAGGCCACATACTTCAAAATTAGGTTCCTTTCTGCATTACTGATTACTCCTGTGCTAACACTTTACATTTGATTATGAACAGTGGATTTTTTGACCAGTGACTGCTGATATTTTTTGAACAATAAAACATCTCTCCGTACTATTCCCCTGCCCCTGAATATATACATACAGTGAGCTACGTTCTAGCCCTAAGCAATTAATTAATAATAGAAAGCTACCTGCAGTTACTACACATCCATCTACTTTTATTTATAAAATAACTCTATTCAATACGCACAATCTATGAGTACATAATTCAGATCAATACCCTACTGAAGTATTGCATAGAATGCTCTCGTAATTCGTAATAACCTGCCAGAATCTAGCAACTCAAAACTGCTACGCATACTCTCAAAAACTATACAAAATACAACTGAGAAGTCCTGTTTACCTTGTTCCACCGCCAAAACATTGCTCCTTACTGCGACTTTACAACAGAAGTTATTTTGGTAGCATTTTCAAATATACATGGAACAATACTGATAAAATATTTTTTGTTGTTTTGCCCAGTTTTAGAGTTCACCTAATAGGCTTCCACTTACCTCTTCCCCGATTCAACAGCTGTATTAGAGGCATATCCTTGAACAGAATATCACACTGCTTCATTAAAGAAATGCAGATAGTATTTAAACACACAGGCAGGCATGCATTTCACTTACGTAACTAAGCACATCAATTAATCGTCAGCATAATTTTCCCTTTCCTAGCATATCTGCAAAGATTAAAATAATCTTCAACCAGTCCGACATTTGACTTAAAAAGCCCTATCAAATACTTCCTTGGGTTTGTTTTTTTTACACAAAACCTCCAAAATTAAGAACAAAAAATATTATTTTTTTTCATCTACTGGAGCAAGGACTGCACTCTGATGGATGTTTCTAGTGCTCATTCAATTATTTTATATGAATATGTTTAACACAATTTCCTAAAAAGCCCCATTTTTCATAAATAGAGACTGACAAATGTAGACCACAAGGCGGGGGGGTGGGGGTGGGAATCAAGACACAGCAGTAGTAGCATCCATGTATTTGAATTGCCCATCACAGGCATACATCTCTTTCCACTGATGAAATATGAAAGGTAGTGAATAAACAGGGTAATGCTCTGAACATGCCCTGCTGGTACCCTAAAGCAGAAATCCTGTTTCTGTACCGTACCTGGGTCTCAAAGCCCACCATGTGCACACTTCAGGATTACCACACCGCACAAACTTTAGAAGACTCCTTCCACGCCAGTTGTTGAAGAAAGCGACCCAAGGCACCTGCCAGGATCTTGGTGATTTTCTGCATTCTGTCACGCTTTTAATTTTAATGTTGTTATTCATTATTTTGTGTAGATGTATAAAAATAGATACCCGCTACCTCCCCCGCCAATGCCTGGGAATCCATTCCCATAAGACACTTAATCCACATGGGCAGAGAGATACATCTGCAAGGAGCTCTGCTAACCTAAATGACATACTTTGAGAAGCACAGCAAAGGCCTAAGTAGCTAACTTAATCTTTCATTCATATAGCATCTTTGCACCAGAGGGATCCCAGACCAAAAATCCCCAGAGGGTATCTACAGTGAGATGGCAATCACTGAACATTTTCCTCAAGGGCTGGCCCCATTTACTCATTAAATTCCTTGATAAATATTACAACTTTATAACCTTCTGTGACATACTTCTTACTAAAAGGTGGATATTTTTCAGTCAATCTTCTGTCGACAGCATCAACCTTATTCCAAAGTAACTAGTGCCAGAAAAACCACTACAAAGACTAATGACACAATGTCCTCAACTCCCATCAATGTGCACATGTAAAATAAAAAGTACACCACGCTGAGTTGCAAATGATATGTTAGTTTATGATTATAAGGCCTATACTATCTGCACCATAAAGCTATAATTACATCCAGGCAGTCCTGTGCACTTGTTATGGACAGTCAGAGTGATGCATGACTTCTAACAAAGGTCATCTTGGCCTGTTACAATATCCTGAAGAGCAACTGAGAGCAGTTCATACACCTGCCTTCAAGCCCTGGATCTACACAAGCCAACAAGCACTTAATTCTCCATTTCATTATCAGGAATAAACACAGTGGTCCCAGATTATACTGCAGAAACTGAGTCTTGTTTTTTGTTTTTAAGAAGCACACAGAATTTGCCATCTGAAATTTGTCCAAAAATAAATTATCATTTTGATTCACTGTGATTTATGAATGGCAACTGGAGGTAGCACATATGATATATGCTGCTTGGAAACACAGAGAGATATTTAGGAGACAAAACATATTGTATGAGGTATATTACGCTCCTATACTTCTAATCAGGCTTGACTGTATGCTTCCAGGCTTAAATTCTTTGAAATACCCATCCCCTAAGACAAAAGTTATCCTGACATATAAACCAAAGAAGATGCATTCGTTACATTCGAGACAGTATTTTTGTATTTTGTTAGTACCTCAAACTGTGTGAAACGTTTTCTACCTGATATCCATAGAAGACCATCCACCACATATCCTGCATGGCATGAGAGCGATCGATCAAAGGACTGTACAAAGGTCCACTTGTTCTTCTTGGGGCAATACCGTTCCACTGTAGGTAACACTTGACGCAATTCATTCCTGCCCCCTACTGCATAGAGGTACTCGTCCACGGCTCCCAGCACAAAGTGTTCCCGACAGTTCTTCATTGGAGCTATCTCAGCCCAAGAGTTAGTGCGGGGGTCGTATCGACAGGCAGTTCTCACCGCACAAGAGCGCCCTGTGGAGTGCTCTGCCTCTCCACCAGCTACAAAAAGAAAGTCTCCCATGACAGCAACACAGTGGTGGCTTCTCCCTACAGGCATAGGCGCTAGCTCGCTCCAGTTTGCAATCCCCGCGATATGAACGTTCTCTTGATCTACCGGATTGAAGTACCGCAATTCCTTCACTTTACAGATTTCACGTTTTTTCCCACCAATAATGTAAAGAGTGTCTGACTGGAAGCGAGGTTTTGTCCTTCTGGTTTGCCAAACTGGCTGTGCATAGACGCTCTGGTGGTATGCCAAGGCCTCGTTAATAAGTGCTGTCGCAGTTTCACTAGCTTGGACAAGAGGATGAGAAAGAGCTACGGTATGCAGTGTATCCACATCCATAAGGCCAAAGCGGACATACTGGAGAAGTTCATCCATGTACTGGTAGCGGCAGTTGTGTTCCAACCACCTCACAGCCAGCTAAAAGTAGGAGGAAGGAAGGGAAAAACAAGACACCAATTATTTGTGTACAATTCTGATAAAATTTGGTCTTTTGAAAACTGTGCTTGCATTTCAAGAAGAGCTATATACTTGCCTTAGTAGTGATATCCATCAATATAAAAAGTAGTTACGAATGCACGAGTCAACATAAAAGATACCAACTAAAACTCCACCTCTAATATACATAAAAGCTTTGTACTGCATCAGTCCCCCTAAGGAATTTTCACAGCATTACCAGATTGCAATACCACTATGAAATACACCTGCTGTGCAAACTGTTGGTGATGCTGTAGGAAACCACAATATGCCAGAATCAAGCTGCTGGAGCAATAATATAAATGTAGGGACTATGTGATCACTGGAGACCATGGGTACACTAGAAAGAAACGTAAGATTATGGTTAGATGATTTAAAAAAGCCCTTTCTCCCCTCCATCTTTCATTCTATTTGTGACAAAATATTGAAGGAATACAACAAAATACATACTGAATTCTTCAATATATTTTTCCTTCTTCGTTAATTTTACTCAGAAAGTGAAGAGAGGTGTAAAGGACCAGAAATCAAGCTAGAGAAGAAAGACGCAGAGAAGAGGTTCTGCTGGTGCGGGACTTACAGAAAGTGGCAAGGAAGACTCTGAAACTGCTCAGCAATTGCAGCTGGTATCAACAGCCAAAACTAAACATAACCTTTAAATTACATAAAGCATATTGAAACCAACCAGCTCTAAAAAGAGGGCCTAAATCATTTTAAGAACTGTTTTGTAAGTTATTCTTCAAAACTTCCAGTGATGAAGATATCTGACATTCCTCAGGAAAACCATCCCCGTGCTCAGTTATTCTCTTGGACAGATTTTCCTTTTACCTACACAGGAGCCTAAACCCTTCACCTCACTGCCTCATTTGCCACCTTTGGGTTTATGCCCCAGAGCTCAGGAACCCCCAGACAAACCCTTGAAATTAATCCACTCATACCAGATGAAAAACAGCCTGCTACCTTCCTTTTCTCCTCCACCTCCGATGTATTTCATTATGTGTGTTGCAGTTTCCTCTTCTCTGAATGAAAAAGTCTCTCAATGCATCTTGGGTCACATTTTCTACACTTCTATTGCTTGGCTCACAGTTCTCTTTTATTGAAAGGAAATGCCCCTCTTTCTTAATATTTGCCGCTAAAAACTGGATAAAGTCTTCCTCTTAAGGCTGTAGTAGTAAACAGATTGGACAGATCACTGATCATAACCATCTACGCCATTCTTATTTGTGCATCACTACAGAAGATTGTCAATGCACTGTGATATTGCCGATTCACATTTAAGCTTAAGTACTCTTCCCACCTCTTTTTTTCTGCAGAACTTCCACAAAGTGTCATGCTTTCTGTCATTACTGAACTATCTACTATCTACATCATTCTCAATCCTAACTATATTTTCAAAAGTGTTTGAAGACAATTCCACCTTCTGGTTGTCTGAAAACATGAACCTCATGTTGCTCTTTCATCCAAGTTGCTAACAAAGACATTGACTAGTTCTGGGTAAGGACAGACTCCTCTACTTGATGCTTCATTTCATCCTGACAAACAGCTCCTGGAGCAGGAGTTTCTAACGAGTCACGTGATAACAGTTTCAGCTAAAACGTACTGCTCTGTACTGCTCATGGGAACGTCACATGAAGCAACTGGAAAGAAAGACTTCTGTCTTACTCCAGGCTTTCATATACTCATGATATATCAAATGTATTGCTGTTTCTGTATTCTATCAGAGAAGGAAGATGACAAACCAAAACCACCTTCTCATTAAGCTCCACTCTGCTATTCAAGCCCTGCGAAACAAAGAATCAATGAAGGGTACCAAAAATTGCAACAGTAGTTCACTCAGTTAAATGCTGTATTGAGTTTCAAAATGTGCATTAGTTATATATATTTAGACTTGTTAGTAAAAAAGGCATTAATTAAATACATTTGGAAGTGTTTATGGACTTGAAATCATTAAGCATTTTATTCATATGTTCTAAATCCACCAAATCCATGTGTCAGGTGTCTCCTGTTGAGTGGTTTTAGGCAACTCCCTACTTCATGTCTTAGGCCATGTGAAATCATTTCTCAAAGTCTTCAGAGGCACTTAGCATCATCATTGACTAGACACTTGAAATTGAAGTGGAATTCAGGCGATCTCCATCATGATGAAGACACCAACTGAATTTGTACCAACTGACTGATGTGTGGGTCGCTATATTAAAAAGGAAGAATTTAGAAAAAAACAGGGTTTTTTAGCTGTCATCACTTGCACCCAACAGATTGGTTTCTTTTGCTTATAGTTCATGCCTTCACTCACATCTAAAATGGTATCGTGGAGGTATCACCTATGCTATACTGACAGACATTACAGACTCTTAAAAGACCTGCACTAATATAAACCAGGTCTTAGTAACCACATGGCTTTTAAGGAAGTTTGACATTAATGCCTGTTAATATCTTAGAACTTCACCATTCTTCTTTCCTTTATTGTCCTCCCTCCTGCCTCCTAATAAATGCTATATAAACACAGCAGCAACTCTACATACATTCATACCTTTCAAGTATTTGCATTCACTTCTGCATATGGGATGTGTGACGATCTGTAGCAGAAGGAATGGACATCTCCATTACAATACATTTTCTCTGCTGCATGAAGTTGGGCAAAAGCAACATGGTTCATACTGAGTTTGGTCTGCACTAAGAATATTCCTGGAGTTGTAAAAAATGTTTCACTGAAACTAACAATGCTTACCATTTCTCTAAAATCACATAAAATTTCTAAACCACCACAGCAATGGTGTAAAGTGATACAAAGATTCTGTTGGCACTCACAGGAGATGTACAATCTATTCCTGGTCTTCAACCAAAACCTTCTCCATCCTTTCCTACACTATTTCATCCCCACTCATCTGTCCTGCACCTTTATTTATGAAAACTTTTGAATCTTTCCAAATTAAATTTATTGCAACCTCCTTGGGATCCTCTGCATGCTGCACCTAAAGGTATCTTTGGTCTACACTACTTCTACCTTTCCGACAAGCAACTGCAACAGCAATGGGGAGGGTAAAGTGAATCCCAGGCTGTCTTTTGTGTAGGTTGCTACTGGCTCTTACCAGACTCCATGCCTGAGGTCAGTTTGCAGTGGAGCACTGCATTTTACTATATCAATTTAGAAAGCAGGGCTAAGAACCCTGCACATCACTGTAGCACCTGGATGGTCTGTAGGCATTTGATAATCAGCAGAGAAGCTCTACTGGGTCTTAGGGAGGCAACAGAGGTCTGGAAATCACAGTTTGTCTGGAAGGTCCTGTCCAAATCAACTCATGACTACAGTATTTTGTGTGACCCACACCTAATCTGTGGCACTCCAAGGCAGAAAAAATGGCCATAAGAGCTAAAAGCTATAATGTTTTTAGCTCCTTGTCTTGCTATTGATAACAATGACTGTTACTCAATTTTAAATGCCATAAATCCATTTTGGGACCCTCCTTAAAAATAACTGCTAGGAATTTAAGCTACAAATGTAGGTATTTTATAGGTATATTCATAGAGTACAGGACCACCTCCTAAATTGTGACACAAGGCTATGGATGAGGTCATATGGTTTTCGGGACACTTGGAAATCAAGCCTTAGACTTCTACATTTGTTATGCAGTACACAGTATTATAGTGCTCTCTAGCAGAACACGGTATCTCACACTATGGAGGCATGGAAGAAAATTGAGTTATCTGTGTGGGTGATCAGATATTCTAGTTACTGGATGGTTTGGCAGCTATTGGAAGGCTAGAGAAGTTCAAAAGAAAGAAAATTAAGTTCCCAAACAAGTCGTTTGCTTGTAGCAGAAATAGTCACTGATGGACTGTAATACACTTCTAAATTTCCTTCAGGTTAAAAGAGGCAAATATAACTCTCATGAACGTATGGCAGAACTGCAAGCTTCCATGTAGCATATCAGCAAACATCTGTTTGTTTATCAACACAAGTTCCACTACCTTTCCTCAGTTCTTATTTAATCCAGACTTAGAAACCTGGTGCCTATATATTGACTACAAAATTCACCCTGCCCATACACTAATTATAGTGCCTATTTTCTACTCTCTCTGGCAGTAGTGATTAGCAACTATAATCAGTATTGGCAAAATAAACTCAAAGCCATTATACACTTTGTGACACTGCAAGGAAAGACACTCAGACTTCTCTAAGGAGATACCAATAGCACTTGAAATTACAACTGTGTTTAAAACGCAAACAAGTAAGCAAGCAAAAACAAAGACACCGTCCACAATTTTGAGTTTTAAAACATTTCTATCGCTTCTAAATAATTTACAAAAATAAGAAAAGACTCCTACTCCTAGCGCCATACAGGCAAATTCTGTTTAAACTGCTAGAAGCTTCTTTTCTATTAATTTTAATGTATGACAGTGTGAGAAAAGGAAGCTACAGCCTAGTGCCTATATCAACTTTAATAAATAATATATTTTGCCATATTCATCTTCTAAACTAAGTAAATGACAAAAGTGGACCCTCAGAAGGACAAGATTTTCAAGCCAGATTAATTCTCTTATTCTAATGCCTTAACCCAAAGGATTTTTCTTCTCCAAGGTTACATTATTTGATTTAGCAATGGAGTGCATTCTCAAAACAGCAGAAAACAGATGGAAAAATACACTGTGACACAGTTGGAGCATACCTCTAAACACACCTGTATGTTGGATTGTGATTTCATTGCATTTCCAAGGGCTGCTTCTGCTTCCAGCATGGTGCTTCGACAGTCCCAACTCACACAGCCTCGAAGCGTGGTCCATCCCTCCCTGCTGTTAATGGTGTACGTACCACGCACGTACCACAGCCAGAGAGGGCACAGAGACAGTGGCGGTTAAAGCTGAATTAAAGAGTTTTATCCCTGTTGAAGATAACCCTGCAGTAAGTAGTTACCTGGTCTTTTGGGCTGCCAGGAAGCAAGAGAGCC